ACAGAGAGAAACCAAAGTATACATTGATTTAATGTTCAATGATTTATCGCAATGCTAACAATACTTATTGAAATGAATATTAATAAATAATCTATAAAAACGGACTTGTATCTGTAAGTCGCCAGAATGTGAATGCAAACTACTCTAGATGGGGAGAATAAACTGACGTTTTTTTCGAAATGCGCTACTCGGAGAATGAAGCTCATTTGTAACGAGAATGAAGAAAGTAAAAAGTAAAAAGTAAAACAAACGGACTCACTCTTCCAAATTTCCTTATCGGACAAGATATGCAGGTGGCCGTATTGACTGGAGTCAGACCAGTAAGGCAAGGCAGAGGGGGTCGGTGTGCAGACACAAAGTTATTTTGCTGAAGCTGCTGATAATTCGGAAGTTGAAATTGCAAACTATGTGCATCCGAACTGGGTTGCAAAGAGGCCTTGGAATAAGTAATTTCTGATTGAGACGATAAAGGTGTTATCAAGCTTGCTTGAGAGGTTATAACCTCTCTTGAATTTTGTTGGGGTTGCTGCTGTTGCTGGTGTCGATTAGAATGATCCGTTAATTGAAATAACTGCTGATTCTTATGATGCAGCGACAAGCAATGAGTTTGCAAGGGGCTGGTATATTCCGGCTTCAAAGATACCTGCTGACAAAGATTCGAAGAAGTTCGGGAAGATCGGGATACCTCATGTGATGCTATAGCTTGCATCCTGTATCTTGATGTTACTGCATCTATTGATGATTTTCTGATAATATTTCCAGCATAAAGCCCAGTTGTAGTCGAAGTGGTGATACTGGTGGATGAGGAAGTATTAGTATTAGTAGAACCAGAATAAAAGAAATTGTCTGCCAAAATAAACGATCCAGGCTGATTAAATTCTTGATTGGGAGTGGGTAGTAGGTTTGAATGATAGGGAGCTCCAGAGTCGATAGCACACGGGGTGCCAGAGGGTTGGCTAGTTGCAGGAGTGAGGAAGAAAAAAACAGCTAACCGATAAACTGAAGAGAATAAGTTAATCAGATAGAAAAATAGGAATATGATTTCGAGAAATGAAGGGTTATATTATCGATGTGACGATAAAGCATTGAGTTGTAGACATTGATTAATGAGTAGTAGGTAGACTAAATTAAAAGGTAGAAGTAAAATTGGGAACAAAACTCTCATAAATGACTGAAATAAGTAAAGCGATCGTAACTGAATACACAGTCTCGCAAACCTACTTAAAACGAAAAAAATATATCGTTTATAAGTAATGTTTCGAAACTACCAGCAAATCAGATCTATGAGATGCATTCACCCTATTTCATGTAAAGTGATAAAGGACTGGTAGATAAATTTTCCCATAATGATGAGTAGACCTTACATTCGATTTAATTTCACATGGTATTACACACCGAAAGATGTCCTACTTTAGGGTGGAGTGTAGCTTCGATTTCGCCTAGGTTCCATCAGAACCCTAAGCAGGAGTCGAATCATGCACATCGCATATACTTGATTTGTTGGTAATCTCGAAACTACAAAAGAACGAAAATTAAGTAATTTAATCGAAGGTATGAAGAGCAAGATAAGGTAGCGTCTTTTATGATCGCAGTCCCCTTTCGTTGTATAAAGGTTGTTTTATCTTATTTTCGCAAATTGGTCATATTGGTAGAAAGACCTAGAGTACCATAACATTTGTGGATTGGGACATAAGAAACTAGAGCATAGGAAGCCATAGACTTCGCACTATGGACGAGAGCACGATAGATGTGGAGGAGACTAAACTAGTTGGCGAACAGTAGACGTATTTTTCGTATAAAAGCAGAGTTTCAAGACTACCAGTAAATCATTTATATGAGATGTGCTAACCCTATTTGGTTTGAGATGATGAAGGGCTATTAGTAGAATTTTCCCACAATGATATGAGTAGAGGTGACGTTTATATTGAATTGCACATAGCCTTGCTTTCCCAAAAGTTGCTCTCAGCCAGGGTGGACTGCAGTTTCGACCTCGCATATGTCTTATTAACACCCCCATCGGGAGTCGAACCGTGACAGTGCAGCATTTGAGCTTGACGTGTTAAACACTTGGCCACATTGCCATGAATGCCCTTGTGATACAGGGCAGATGTCAATTTCAAGAAAGGCCAGGCCTTTTCACATATCACATTCTTTAGTGGAGTGTCGATGAAGCAAAGGTATTTTTGCTATAAAAATCGACAACATTACTTAATTTTCGTATATAAGTAGAATTTCTATACTAACAGTAAATCAGTTATGAGATTATACTTATCTACGAAAATTCAGTAGTGTAGTTGGTTATTATAGTAAAATACGTTTGCTTTATCGACAATCCCGCCAAATAATGTGATATTGGAGGTGGATCCTACGGGGCAAGAGGGAGACCATGATAGGACCTATGGGAAGATGATTGCAGAATAATATTGCAGACTCTAAAAAGCATTTCCAGCACTAGGATGAAGATGGATGAGAAAGCCAGCATGGAGTTCGGAGAGTTCTCATGAAATCCACTCAAAAGGGCACACCATATCACATTTAAATAAGCAATTAAGAAATTGTGATAATGAAGGGATGATACGAGGATATGGGATTGGTAGGATATATATAACAATTGTTTATCAGACAAATGGTTAAAGGATCGGCTTTACTTGTCCCTTTCACGAGCTTTAGTGTGGTGCTAAGACTGGCAAAGTTCAATGACGATGCCGGCGAAACGTCCACAGTCCGACAACTGTTTAGCACACATTGGGTT